CACCCTAGTAGCGATGGCCTCCACCCTAGTAGCGATGGCCTTCACTCTAGTAGCGATGGCCTCTACCTAGTAGCGATGGCCTCCAGCCTATAGTGACACTGGCCTTCACCCCAATACCGATGGCCTCCACCCTAGTGGCGATGCCCTCCACCCTAGTAGCGATGCCCTCCACCCTAGTAGCGATGGCCTCCACCTCAGTAGCTCCTTGCTAGTAGCGATGGCCTCCACAGTGTCCCGTTCCGCACTTTCGTTGTGCAATAGTAGCTGTAGCTGTAATTTCTGGCTGTGCACCGCTCCCCTCTTCACAGGCCTTCGGACGCCATGGTCTCAAGCCTCTCGCACCGACCATGCAAGGTCATCGAAAAACCCGCCACTCTCCCACATGCGCGGAACACACAGGACTATTCTCCCCAATCATTCCTTGCTAAGTAACCTAAAGCCCTTTGAGATCATTGAAGAGTGGCTTACAGTAGACATCATTGCCCTCCGCCCACCTATGGAGGGATCATTCAGCACTGGAAAGCGCAAAGCCTGGCTTAGCACTGCGAAACAAAGGCAAGGGCAAGGCACAAAAGATCTCAAAAAGTTCACTACTGACTCCTTAGTTCAAGATGTCAAAAAGTTTGTTCACTTGACGAATATGTTCAACCTCCTCTGCATCCTCCATGCGACTGAAGGTGACTATGGCCTGCAACATCCATGATCCATGATCCATGATGCACAAGGTACTCAATTTGCAACTTGTGAGCTCAGAGCCTCATGGCGCATCTGATTGATTTGCAAAGAGGAGACAGGCCTTGGGTGCAAAAGGGCAAGACTTGAAGGCAGCCGAACTGGTTGAGTTGAGCCGAACTGCACATTTCCAGAGACTTTCCATTTCAGTCGGTCACTGCAGCATCTTTCAAGGCGCTGGCCCGAACCTGCCAAAGTACTCATTGAGTACGTCCATTTTGTTGAGGCTTGGAGGCACCTGGAAAAGGAAAGCCAAACAACCTGAGCAAGTGGCCTTGGAACCCTGCCTGCATCACGACGATGCTAACGCCTCCGCCATCATTCCGCTCTAAACGACCTCCATTTGGAAGTGTCAAACGAAACCTCCGTTTGCCTTATGAACAAACAGCGGAACTGTGGAACGTCCCGTGGAGTAAAAGTACCAGAAACCTCCAGAAAGCACCTCTTCGTGGAGGCGGCTGTGAGGGTGGTGGCCTCAAGCAGAGATAAAGGTAGTTTTGGGAAGAAAGGCAACCTGTAAGACAGGCAGCATCTAGTCTCGTAAGGCCAAAAATTTAAATAAAGCAATGTAATGTATAGTACTATAGGTTCTATATATATATATACCTGAGAAAGGACAGGACGAAAGCCAGCGAAAGACCAATATGGTAGTGCAAGACTTGGAGGAAAAAATAGCGGAGCACTTATTGTTGAATGTCTGTAGCTTTCGTGGAGCTTGTATCAACCTGGAGTACAGCATGAAGTGTTGAATGTTTTAAGTTTTCTCGACTTTCCCGGCGCGGCGCTCTCTGGAGCGTCCCTGGTTGGTGGTATTTTTGAGAATCCGTGTAAAAATAAACGTCAGTGAAAGCCAGGAGAAGGATGCTTGAAAGGTGGTTTTTGGTGTTTCGGGCATCGTGCATCAATGCGCTGCCCTATAAAAAGCATGGCTGGGAGAAAAAAGAGGAGAGCATTCATTCTTGAATGGTTGTAGTTTTCGTGGAGCTGGTATCACTGCGACGTAGATGAAGATGGGAGCACAGCATGAAGTGTTGAATGTTTTTAGTATGCTTGATTTGCTTGGCGCGGCGCCTTCTGGAGCGTCCCTTGTTGGTGTTCTATTTGAGAATCCGTGCAAAAATAAACGTCAGTGAACACCAGGAGAATGATGCCCGAAATGGTTTTTGTGGTTGTGTTGAAATGTGTTTCAGGTATCGCGCATCAATGCGAAGCCCTATAGAGAGCAGGGCTGGGAGGAAAAATAGCAGAGCACCTATAGTTGAAAGCTTGTAGTTTCGTGGAGCTGGTATCACTGCGACTGAGATCAAGATCGGAGCACAGCATGAAGTGTTGAACGCTTGCAGCTTTCTTGCTTCCCCTCTTGCGGCGCTCTTATCCCCAAGCCTCTACCTCGCCCAACTGGACATACTCACATCGTTGCTCCCAGAGCGTTCACTCTTTGTTGCTTGGGCCTTCTTGGTATGATCAGAGCTACACAGTCCCTATGCCCTGCTCAGGACTAGACAAATTGTCTCAAGACCCCTTCATGATGCTAATGATGCACTACTCGGCGTCCATTGCGTCACTCGCATCACCAGACCCCATTTTCACTGCGTTTCTGACCCTCGCTTTGGAGCGCTCTCCCCACCAAGCTCCGGGTTCACCCCCCACACCCCCTTAACTCACTTCGTTCGTCAAGCCTAGCCTATCGGCTGGCTGGCGTAATTGATGTATATTATATGTACGAACACTATACTTGTATATACTTGTTGTAGTTAGCAGCGGAAAATGATAAAAGAAGAGTCGACTTGTGAGTTGGTGGTCTTTTGGCTCAGAGCCAAACCCTGGATATGGCCTCCAGGCCTCTGGTGGCCTGGGCGCATTCGACACTTTGACGGCATTAAGCACCAGGTATATCGAGTCTATATAGAGGTAATCATGCAATGGCTATTCAAGCGGAACACTTGCATAACACGCATCAAAGTATGTATTGAGCAAGGCTTGACACACCTTTTCAGGCTCCAGGTCTCCTGGCGGATAGCTACCTGGTGGAGGGCCTGGCACATGCCAAGGCGGCGGTGCATTGCCCATCCTCAGCCAAGTCTGACTTGATGAGTAAGTAGAAAAGATTCTAGAGAGTCTATGGTTTCATGTGTCAAAACCAAAAAAGTCCACAAGATCTGTGAATGTTCGAAAAGGTCCCCTCGTTGGCTCGGGAAGCCGTGCCATGCATTCGGAGGGCCCCTGAGGCCTGGCCCAAAGGATCCGCGCGCACCAGATGTGCAGAGGTGCACCGCAAGAAGAGAAACACACAAAACACAGAAAGACATTGAAACAGAAAGACATTGTATGTCGGTAGAATTTAAGAACACAAAACTCGTGACATACAAGTTTTGACTTAGACAAAGACAGGGGAGAGAACTTCATGGCACATCCCGACACATATCACATCAAAGCTCTCCTCCAGGTGGCCAGCCGGGCCCTCGTTCCACTGCCCACTGTTGTGGCCTAAGAAAGCAGCCCTTTTGAAATTGTCGAAGACCTTCTCATCTAGTAAAAGGATGGCAAGCAAGTTGTACACATACGATCAGAGTACTGCTTTTCCGAGAGCGCAGAGTAAGCCATGTCTCCGCGGACTTGCCGGTTGCCTGGGCAACAAGGGTTTGAGTCCTGGTTGTCACCTGTTTGCAAAGGCTCCGACTGCCAGCATGTTGAATATTGGACTTCTTTGCGATGCGCGTGCCAAACTGTATTGCACGCTTCTTGAATTGCCTTAGTTGGATCGACAAGTTTGCCAACATTATCTAGACCAGTGGAATCAGTTGCATCGGCAAAAAATGTTTGATAACTTGAGAACCATTGTGCCCAAAAGATTCCTTAAACAAAAATACGAGCCACGCACAAGCATCAAGACCACGCTGGCTGGCAAGTTCGCGCAGGAGCCACTTGTCTGGAGCTGGATCTGACTCTCCTTCCAGTGTCAGTCAAGCTCTGCAGCTCAGCAGCTGGGAGACTTTTGTACTTCAATGATCCATTGTGTGCCACTATGCAGTTCATTCGGGACTTCACTCAGGCGACTCTTTACGCAACATGCCTCCGATGCCATAGGCCACCAGCTCGATGGGCAAGCGACCAACAAACTCAAGTAAGTGATCATCCAGGAACGGGTGCCTAGCACGCTAAGCTGACGCAAGCTGACGCAAGCTGTCAATCTGCCGATCCAACGAAGGCAGCTCACAAGCAAAGGTAGTTCACGGTGCATCACAACTCATCACATCATACTTCTCACACTTCTCCAAGCCTGGCTTCACGGCCATGATCGGCGATGATGCGATCGTCTCGGCCTAAATTTCTCGTCCAAAGCCGTTGAAGATCCTGCGACACCGCTGGATTCGTACACTCATCTACTATATTGATTTGGTATGAACAAATTGAACATGATATACAGTAACGTGTTCTGCCTTGAGCATCTCACTGCGTGTACCATCCGCACCCCGCTTAGCGCGCGCTGTGCGATGCCGGCTGTATCCACCCAGTAGTTCGTCAGCACCTCAAAGCAGGTAAGCCTTCAAGGTGATTTCGAGTTGACTGGCACTTCGTGTGCTACCAGTAACAAGAAGCTACTAGGTGGAAGCCATTACTACTAGATCTACTAGTAACAAGAAGCTACTAGTAGCTTAGCCACTCGGGGGGTCGGATCTCTCCAGCTGAGATTACTGTAAATGAAAAGAACCGAATGAACCCACCTTGCCTGTACCAACCAGTAACACTCGGCAGGATGCCCGAATCTCTTCAGCCTGATTCCGGATGTGCCAGAATCCGTTCACTTAGCTGCACTGCCATATAAGTTTGCAGTGTATGATTCATCAACTTACTTGCACCGTAAACATTCAACGTACTTCCAGATTATGTTTGTTTAAATCACTTTGTGTACCTCAGGATGAGCACATCTTTGAGCACTCAGCTCGATGCACACCTGCCAAGTCCGTGGACTTTTCAGAACGTCCAAACCAAATGTTGACCAATAAAGCAAAAGACACGAAACTTTGCCAACACCGAGCATACAATGTAGCAGGACGTTTGGTTTGATGACAGATTCGAATAGACCAAGCAGGCACGCATTGCAGTAAATTCAGTAAATCAAATGACTTTGACAGAACACCGCCGCGGCTCCATGAGAATAACACATACACATCATACACAACAAACAATCCTAACAAGCAAATGTTGTTCACGGACACCACCTCACAGCATGGTCACGACACCTTCCTCGACTCAAAAAACAGGTATGGCCAAAAAAGTATCTCCGAGTGTTCAAGAAAAGACTATAGCCCGTGAACAAAGAAAATCATAAAGGGCGAACATCCTCGAGTGTTGTGGGGAGGGCAAGAGCTTCTAGGATGCGGTTGGAGCAATAGGGTAGGCTGCGGTCTCAGGTTGGGGCTGTGGTTGAGCTCCAATGAGGCAGCATTTGTTGGTTTTTACAATAAGATTCAATAAGATCGATGTTACTAAGAACATCTAAGAACGTAATTTGTTGCCTCCATCAAGTCTTTTCTTCTTGTACAAATGCCGACAATCTTGATTGAGGTGCAGTCACTCCGGATTGATTTGCTTGTTCTGGGTCGTCTGCAAGTCCGCGGTCTTGACTCTTGAAGAGCTGATTACATGGACGGTACATGTCAGCGAACTTTAACTGTCCCCTCTGTCCTGCTATGGCCTCTGACCTACTAGCGATGGAGGATATGAATGCCGTCAAGGCTTGAAGGTGTTTCCAAATCCGCCCTACCTTCCAAAACCGGTTTAATTTAATGCTCCTTGCACAATGGGCACGAAATGGAAGGAGACAAAGTTCAAACAAATGATCATACGAGGTCAGGGACAGCTTAGGCTTGGGTTTGGCAGAATCAGCTTTGGATTTGAAAGTTGGAAAGGCATTGGGTGGACCGCTTCACTGAAAACAATGTTGGCTCTAGACTCACGAGAGGAGGCCTTCATCAACTTTGTCTTTTCAGATTTAATGTAACCCTCATCTCGCAGAGTTTGACAAAGTCTTATTGAAATGGCGGTGCTCTTGCAGTCCGAATCATGCAATCGATGCCCTGTCAGCTTGAGAGTCCTTTTTTGATCAAGTACCCAGCATGTACAGTATCCTTTGGCAGCATAATGTGCAAGGACAATCGAATGAAGCAAACACAATCTTGCACAACTTGTCAAGTCTGAGTGGAAAAAACAAATGCCGGTTTTAACACTGCATTGTCTACAAAGAACCTAGGCACTTGCTGACCTCGGCTTCTGGCTCAGCTTCAGGTTGCTCTGCACCTCAAAGCCACATCCCAAGTTCCAGAGATGTTGAACTAGTTTCTTGTAATCATAATTATAGAATGTTCGGATGCTCAGTCTCGTGCTTGGAGCCTTGATCTTGTGCACAGGGCACCACTCCTTTGGTTCGCCTGAGGCCTATGATGCAACATGATGCAACATGTGTTCAGTTCACCCTATGTGTCCATGAATTCCAATCCATCAAATCTCACCTTGTGCAACTTTCGGCAGCAAAGCTTGCAGGATAAATGTGGGCAGCCTGGACCAGAAATGCTGCCCATCTACTGGACTGTCCATCAAGGAGAATTGAATAGAATTGAAAGCCTCCGAAGCGTGTGAGGGTTGTTTTGGATGTCCAAGTTGCCGGGTTTGGCAGGTAGCACGCAGGTCACGCAGCTCACCTTCTCATTCTGACTTGGTCCTTCATTTGTCATCGGAAGATGTTGACATGCATCGATCGGGTGATGTTGTTGAATTAAGGTGAAGAACTTGATTCAGTATATACATATTATGATGTGTGTATCTTTTATTTTTTTGGATATGTCTTGATATGTTTATTGAGCAGTATGTTGATGAGATGTGATAGGCACCAGGCACCCATGACTTTTGGAGTCCTGCAGGCTTCACTGGCTTTGACGGCTCCAGCTGCAGTGATGATGCTGCAGTTGGAGCCCACCATGGTTGGGACACAAAGTCAGGCGAGCAAAGGAGGCCACGTCCTACCACATTACAAGACTTTGCCCACGTCCAAAAGGTGTAGGCTGTGCAGAGGCTAGCAAGCTCAAGCATCTACTAGATGCATGTAAGCAAAAAAGCTCAGGCTTCGCATGATTGATTCCAAGATGTTTACGGAAACTTAGTTCCGACCCTCCAAGACTTGGATATCTTGCGTCACTGGGGTGTCACTTGTGTCTATGGTGCCTCATGCTGTCTGTGGTGTTCCACCCCATTTTGTAGACCGAAGAACTGGGAAGAAAGGGAGAGGCCTCGGGCAGCGAACCATAAGGCTGCTGCAATATTGAAATCCAAGTGAGTTGCCTGGCCGAAAGAATCAGGCACGAAAGTTTTTGGATTGTGTGGCAAAATCTATCTCAGGTTTAATGAACTGGCATTTCTGGACGTGCACGTGCATCATGGTGCATCCCAGTGAAAGGATTGTGTTGAACACTGTTGTCTTTCTGACACTTCATATCGCCGCTTGTTGTTCGCAATCTCGCCTTGGGACCCAACAATCGGCAAATAGATATCTCCTCTGCCAGCAAATCTTCCTGACGAATGTCTGACAGGACCTCAGGTGGCTCTTTCTCTAGCAAACAGGGCAAAGTCAGCAACTTCACTGCCAACTCAGTTCATGACCAAGCGGAAGCGCTCAGGGCCATACTGCCGGAGCAGGTCCTGAGCTTATCGAGGCAATTGATTGATATTCTGTTGTGCAGATGTGTTTCAAATTATGTTGCAAGGAAATATGCCGTAACAAGTCGAAACCAGCGTTGAATGCTTTCAAAATAAAATATTCCAGCCAAGTTGAGCCAAGTTCCTGAAAGCTGCAAAGCGCTGTGAGGCGATCAGGGGCTCTGCTGTCAAAGGCAACCTCTGAAAAAGAAAAGTTCCTTAACTATCCTTAACTATCTTTTATCATATGCCTCATCATGCCTTAGTTATGCATATGAATAGTTAAACACCACACTACATATAGATGAACAGGCAAAGCCACATTGATCAACTCGATGGTCTCATGAGGCAAGGCCTGAGGGGCCGAGAGGAATGTCAGGCAGAATCCCTGAGCTTGCGTTTCACATTCAACATGCACCATGTGAACTTGTGGCCCAGAGGGGGGTGGCGCAAGCTAGGCAAAGAAACAACGCTGGGGCTCTTTTGGCAGCAAAAGCTGGCCGGGAATCGCAACATGCCATGGCCGAGGGAAAGGAGAGTGCCAACAGCGCCCCCCCAATACGACACCAACAGAGCCAACACATGGCAACACACAACCACTCCAGCAACAGCAGCAGCAGCAGCAGCGGCGGCGGCAGCTACCAAGCAGCAGCAGCTACCAAGCAGCAGCAGCTACCAAGCAGCAGCAGCAGCAGCAACAGCTACCGAGCAGCAGCAGCATCAACAGCAGCTACCAAGCAGCAGCAGCAGCAGCAGCAGCAGCCACTAAGCAGCAGCCAGCAGCAGCAGCAGCAGCTACCAAGCAACACCACCAGCTACCAAGCAGCAGCAGCAGCAGCAGCAGCAGCAGCAGCTACCAAGCAGCACCACCAGCTACCAAGCAGCAGCTACCAAGCAACAGCAGCAGCAGCAGCTACCAAGCAGCACCACCAGCTACCAAGCAGCAGCTACCAAGCAACAGCAGCATCAGCTACCAAGCAGCAGCAGCAGCAGCAGCAGCTACCAAGCAGCAGCAGCAGCAGCAACAACCAAGCAGCAGCAGCAGCAGCAGCAGCAACAACCAAGCAGCAGCAGCAGCAGCAGCAGCAGCAGCAGCAGCTCAGCAAAGAGCAGCAACAAAGAAACATAGAAACAGGGCAAAGAACAGCAACAGCACGTTGGGAACTGAGAAACGGTCAGGGGTGAAGGGTGGAGTTGAACCCGCGGGGGGGGGTATAGTCCTGATATATCAGGTATCAGCACTCAGGTCGTGGGCTCCCACCCTCCTTGCTAAAGCAATACAGACTCCAGCTAGCTACAGCTAGCTTTCGTGAACAATTGTATACTAGAAAGCCGTCTAGTTACTAGAAAGCTTCAAAGACATGCACCATACAGGAAAGCGCAGGTTTCAGGTTTCAAGTAATCTTTCGTATTTAATTGGCTGAAGTGTAACTGCCTCAGCTGCCAAAGCTGCCAACACGGTGGAGTCCAAGCCCCCCGAAAAGAGCAACCCGACGCGAATGCCAGCACCTCCACAAAGCTATCAAATATGGTGGAATTGTGTGATCTGGGAATGAGCCAAGTTGGTTTCAACAGTGGGAACATAAATAGATGCATGTCTTCTTGGTCTTCTTCAAGTAATCGAGAGCTACAGGCTGCCTTTGCCTGAAGAGCAAATAATCGAAAGCAATGTATTTTTCTATGCATACATACGTGTGTATATATAATTTGTATAACTATATATGTAATTATATAGCAATAATTATGTATATAACTATATATGTCCAGATGTGGTCACCGCCTTCTCGAGGGACCACCCTTTCATATGTCCATCACACTGTCTAACTGAATGAGTATTACGTCCAAATAAATTACACCACCGTAGACCCCAAACAGGTTAGACAACAACGAACCATTCCCAAGGGAGACAAGAGGAAACAGAAAGAGAGACAAGGCGGACGCAATGACCAACAAGAAGGGAGACAAAAGGAAACAGAAGGGAGACAAGACGAACACAATGACCAACAAGAAGGGAGACATTACACCACCGTAGACCCCAAACAGTTTGTGTTTTTCAAAATCGAAACTAGAGCCTGCGACGGCCAGAGCTGGGAGACAAAGGATTGCAAGGCAGAGGCGGCCACAGCAGCCCAGAGCTGGGAGACAAATGTAGAGGATTGCAAGGCAGAGACGGACACAGCAGTACAGGGCGGGCGGACACATCTTAAGAAAGAACTGAGAAGCCCTAACAGTAAACCTTTTGGGGCATTGTTCTTCAAGTGCGAACATGATGCTGGTCACGCTGCTCAATCAGCGGGGAGCTGACCACGCGAGGACAAGAAATAAAAGCATGAGGAGCGAAGGATGTGACATGAAATTGATTTTTGGTGCCTGACGTATGCCCTCCGTCCCAACTGAACAGAGAGATCGCTGCCACGCCGCCGAAATCCAATCCGGTCATTCATCCAACGCTTGCCCGAAAAGGAAAACAAAGCTGAGAGAGTTACACAGTGTGGCAGGAATGCAATCCCGGAGACAGTCACGCACCACAGCCATGTTGATCCTTTTCAGATCTGCATTGGCGGCTTGGAGGCTTCTGCTCAATGCTGATGTGGCAGGGCACTCTCCGGGTTTTCCAGCGTTTCCCAAATGGGCGATTGCAAACAGCCTGGGCATCATGTTGGACCCAAGGGAAAGTCTTGGCAGTTATGAGCCAGGGTGTGCGCCATTTATGCTCTGCTCGGAGGCCAATGGGAGCTTGGAGGAGTGTACGGTGTTCCCTTTGGTCATCCGCCCCTTTCAAAGGAGCAAGAACCTTTCACAGGTGAACCTGTTCCAGCGGACAGGGCAGAAAACAGCAGTGCAGGCACCAAACCTGAAGGACAAAAAGAAAGAAGTCACATGGGAAACAAATGAACAGAAATGCTGCGTGGCCAGCAGAAAAGGGCGGACACCAGACCTGGAAAACAAATGAATAGAACTGTTCCGTCGCCAGCGGAAAAGGGCGGACACCAACAGTGACAGACCTGGGAGACTGATGAATAGAAATGCTGCATGGCCGACGGAAAAGGGCAGACACCAGCAGTGACAGACCTGGGAGACAAATGAATAGAAATGCTGCATTGCCTGCAGAAAAGGGCGGACACCAGCAGTAACGGACCTGGGAAACAAATGAATAGAAATGCTTCCTGGCCAACGGACAAGGGCGGACACCACCAGTGACAGACCTGAAAGACAAATGAATAGAAATGCTGCATGGCACCAGCAGTGACGGACCTGGGAGACAAATGAATAGAAATGCCTTCATGACCAATAGACAAGGACACACCAGTGACAGACCTGGGAGACAAAAGAATAGAAATGCTATATACTGTCAAGAACGTTGAGCCCTCTCGCGACCGTTTTCACGCTCGCGGATGGGTGAAGGCTCAAGGCCTAAGATTCGAACCGTCATGTACCTGGTTGCTACAGGTGCAAGTGTCCCTCATGAAACCTCAAGAACCTGGTTTGTCTTCACATTCCTCAACAATCTGTGAGGTTTCATGTGGCACTTCTTGCGCCTCATGGTGAGAACTACTAGCCACTGATCGGTCGGCCAGCGCATCGTTGTAGATCTCGTCACCTAGGATCTTCATCTGTCGTTCGATTGCTGCCATTTGTTCTTTGTCACCGAACACACACGCAGCTTCAAAAGTCACCGTCAACAGAAAATATTTCCGTTCCTTCACAGTGAACTTGTCCCATTGTTCCTGTGTGATCCCACCATGCTTGTTTGTCGTTGTCTCTTTCTGCTCTTCACTTTTCTCTTCATCCATCATCTCATCTCCCTCATAGGGCGCTAAGCGACCATCACCATCACCTTGGAAAAGTTCCGGTGGCTCTGGTGTCTCCAGCATGCTCATCACCTCCGATTCTGTGCGTGTTCCTGGAGCTTCCCTTCTGTCTTGCCGCTTCTGAAGAATCTGCCTCTTTGCTTTTGAGCTCATGGATGGAGTTCTGTGTCGTTTCTTCTGTTTCAATCTCTTCTCAAGGTCCAAAGCACGAACCTCTTGTCTCTCTTGCTTGTACTCAATGCGAATCAACCTGTCAATGACCTTGGTGATCCGATGGTTGTGCTCTTCAGAGATGTCCTCCATCTTCTGATAGGTAAACCTGTTGCTATCGGCAATGAACTGTGACATCTTCTTGAAGTCTTCATTGATTGCTCCCTTCATGTTGTCCATGCCTGTGAGCAGGATGTTCGTCTCATTGAATAGCTGTCTCACGCCACCATCGATCAGCTCTCGAGTTCTTCTCTTTTCCTGACCCATGACATGAAGAGTTGTTGTTGCCTTTTCGTCAACCCGCTTCACAATCATGACCATCATCACCATCATTGCTCCCAACATCAAAGTCAAACATTCTGAATTCTGTGAAAACCTCGCCTGCAAACCAATGACGACCATCAACATTGTAGTTGCTGCAACAAGAGCGCCTTGTTTGTACAATGCCAAGTCTTCATACCATTGGAACAGCCTGGCGTCATGTGTTGTGTTGTACCATAAAGCTGCTGTCAGAACAATGCTCAGGCATGCAAACATCAACTCCCAGGAGGGCCAAAACAAGATCGTCCTTACGTCCTGCTCTGCTTTCACCGGAAGGAATGACTTCGCAAGATCATCTGGGTTTTGTGAAAGAGGCCTGTGAGCTTCAAATTGCAGGTGGACGACACTACTCGCTCGAGAACCCCCTCTCAAGTCAAGCTTGGAAGTCACATGTTGGAAAAGATTGAGCCGCATCCTTGTTTTCATGCCCTACATGCGAGAAAGAACGTAGAAGTCCTGCGCGACCAACAGCGGCGGCGCCAAAATACAACAGCTTCAATCAATGTGTGGCCATGGATATTGCACACATACCTGACCAAGAAGACGCGACGCATTCCTTTTGATGATGGTGGATGTGGCCACATCCTATACCCTCGCATCCTACCTGTGCTCAGGTGAAGGTCCTGGCAGACCCAAGAAGCCTCAATCCTCTCAACGCAGAAAATCGATGATGGATTGGTTAGAAGTCTTCGGAAGCCCTGACAAAGTGCAAGTCGATCAGGACGGCTCATTGAGAGGTGACTTCAGAGATCTACTGGACAGGTATGGTATTGAAGAAGTCTTGGTAGCAAGGGACGCACCCCTCTGTTGTCGGAAGCTGACATCACTTCCTGACAAGACCGTGTTGTAGAAGCTATTGAGATTCTGACTGCTTTGTGCTTTGGAAACCTAAGATTCGTAAAGATTCATATGTGGGGTTATCCGGTCCTTTAATTGTAGTTTGCTGGGCCCCCTCCTTCCCAAGACTTCCCCAAAATGGTTTTTTCCCCAAACAGTGTGGGCACACTGAGGGGTTCTTACGGTAGGGGAAAGGAAGCTGATGCTTAGATCGCTGAGGCGCGCGGCCGTGAACGGCTAATTCGTTGCTATTTACAGTACATTCATGACCCTCGACGTCGTCCATGCGCACTTCGACTGCGCAGGCTCGCTGAATCTGGGCGTCCGCGGCGGGTGCTTCTAACGACTGCGCTCTCGTTGCGGCGCCGTGCACATTTTCGTACGCGGCGGCTACTTTTCGTGGCAGGCGCAAGGGAAACCTCGCAAGCGTAGCGCTTGGTGAACCTCGACGCGCAGATTTCGTGGCAGGCGCAGCACTTGGCGAACCTTGAAGCGCAGATTTCGTGACAGGTACAGCACCTTGTGAACCTCGAAGTGCAGATTTCGTGGCAGGCGCAGCACTTTGTGAAGCTCGAAGTGCAGATTTCGTGGCAGGCACAGCACTTGGTGGACCTGGAAGTGCAGGTTTCGTGGCAGGCACATCACTTGGTGAACCTCGAAGTGCAAATTTCGTGGCAGGCGCAGCACTTGGTGAGCCTCGAAGTGCAGATTTCGTTGCAGGCGCAGCACTTTGTGAACCTCCAAGTGCAGATTTCGTGGCAGGCACAGCACTTGATGAACCTCGAAGTGCAGATTTCGTGGCAGGCACAGCGCCTGGTACACCTCGAAGTTCAGACTTCGTAGCAGACGCAGTACTTTGTGCTTTTAGATGCTCACTCTCTGACTCTCCCACTCTCACTCTCCCACTTCCCACTCTCACTCTCACTCACACTCGCACTCACACTCACTCTCCCACTCACACTCGCTCACACTCACTCACTCTCACTTACACTCATTCTAGTCCACACCCGCTCCCACTCACACTCACTCCCTCCCACTCACACTCACACTCCTCACACTCACGCCCAGTCACTCTCCCACTCGCAGACTCTCACTCGCTCTCACTCTCACTCACACTCGCACTCACACTCACACGCACGCGCGGGAGGAGGTCAAAAAGGTCCTGAAAGCTCTATGAAGTCTTCCCAAATCATGGTGGGTTCCGTTACAAAACTACTGAGCCAACTCCAGCAATGGAAGGCAGCATTGCTGAAGCACAAATTGTTTGGGTTGCAAGCTATGCTCGTGAGGTTCTGAGCTATCAAGGCAGAGTTGCCTTGGATGTGAGGTTGGTCACCGTGCAAGCCAAGGTGCTTGTGGACCAGTTGTTCAACCCGCTGCAAATCTGTGAGAGGCTGTTGCCCATGATCTTTGGAAGGCTGAAGGCGTAAGCCGAGCACGAATTCATGAGATCTTGTTGACTGACCTCGAAAAGCTGTCTTTGAGCCTCAGTGAGGTGGCTCGATTCGTCATGTGCTTTGGGAATGCAGCCATTGGGCAGAGTTGCGCCGTCTTCCGGCAAGTCGGTGCCCCTTGACAAATCGGTTGGGATGGGGTCCAGCTGGAGTGGATGAAGCCCGACTCAAACAATGCGCACAGATCCGCGAGAGCCTCTGCAAAGCGCAAGCTAAACGAAGTTATTCTAGGCCGGAACCACCCGGTGGTGATCCTCTAGGGCAGCTTCGGAATCCCGAGCAGGGCCTCGGGGATCTCTTTTCTGCATAGGTGTGTGCGCTGTGGGCGGCTTAACCCGCGCCAGGTTGTCGTCCTAAAACACAAGGATGGCTCGATTCGTCAACTCCAACAATCTCCATGAAGAGACGGGCCAGCGCTTGGGAGTGGGAGGCCCTGAAGGAAGCAGCGTCACAAGAGACCTGCTCTGAGGTAGAGGAGCTCGGCGCCTCCGCTCCCTGCGCTGCTGGTGTCAAAATTGAGCCCCCTTTGACTTTGGGGCCGAGCGTTTTCCTCCAAGGACCATAGCCCGGAGAAACGGGAACGCAATGGCTCTCGCTTGGGTCAAGAGGAAAGTCGTCAATCTGACTGCACTGATCCCCACAATCCACTTGACTGAAACCCCCAGCAATTCGATCAAGAGTCTGATCATGGTTGCAAAACCCCTGAACAAAGCCATTGCCAGTCTGAGTGCCTCCTATAAGGAGGAGCAAACATGGTTACCCACAAGACGTGGAATTCTCAACCACGTCAGTCTTGCGTCGTTTGGCATCCTCTGTGGTGCCCTGCTGCGGTCTCTTTAGCATGACCTGAAGCTGATCCTTCTGCACTGGTGTGAGACTTACAGCAAGGGCGCTGATGACCCCCGGGACAGGGTCAGCCTTGTGACGTCAGGCTGCAACGATGCAGCCGGCACAGCTGCGGTCACCATGGACATGTAGGATGCACTGGTCTGATTCAAGGCAGCTTGTTCCTGTTCAATCTTTGATTGGATGGACTTCATCTCTTCCAAAAGCTCTTGAAAGGAACGCTTGGTGGCATCAATGCGGCGTTGAAGGGCATGTTTCCGCTGAGAGAGGTCCTTCAGGGCCGTGACCTGCTGCTTCAAGCGTCCTGCTTCACGTTCAGATTCAGGAGGAGGTGTCGTGATCTTTTCGACTAACTCGCGGACAGGTGTGGGAAGCTTGGACAAGTTCTCTCGAAGGACATCTTTCAGGTCAGGCTCCACAGGCTTGACCTCCGGTGCAATGCCCAGACTCGGTGAGTTTGGCTCGAAGTTGTTCATCCAAGGACCCCCATGCTGGTGCCAAGATCTCGGAAGCAGACTTTTGAAGCCTGGATGGCTTTGGAGATCTTTGCCTGCCCAACTCTGGGGGCGGAGCAGGCCTGTCGTACCTGGGCCGTTGCCAGCGTGAAGCTGTCTTGGCTTGTGGCGTTTTCAAAGCAAAGCCTTGCTGAGGTCGTTGCCATTCAGTTCCGCATCGTCGGCAGGTGAAGCCTTGCTGGACCTTGTCGCACCATATCCAGTTGTGGAACCGGTGTGGGTGCACATTTGATATGCCCGCTGCATAGACCATTCCATGTCCTCCAGGTAGAAGGCGTTCGGCACTAAGCGAGCTCTGCCTTGCCACCCCTCTCGGATTCAGAGACGTGCTCGATGTGCCAGACCACAATCCGGCTTGAGCCTCCTGTCTCTTGAGCCGAGAGCTTGAGCCACATATATATATATATATACATATAACAAAATGTACCAACCTACTAGCACATTTTTGTTGTTTTGCATTTTCCTTGCATCTCTAAGAATAGCATGGCACTCTGCGGCCCCACCTGCCACATGCTCCACTCGTCTTGCTACTGCCTCCGACAGCAACCGGCCAAAGGCCAGCCGCAGGTTGGCCTCGTCGCAGGCGTTGTCCGTTGACCACCACCTCAAGCGAATGGGGATTTGACACGTAGTCACTGATGTGTCACTGATCCTGAGGATTTGGCGCAGGGTTGCATAACTCATTGGGCATCCGCACCAGGGCTGTGCGAAGGGCGCTGGCTGGCGCCAGGGCAGCTGTCGCACAGAGCGGGCCACCAAATCAAAAACAAAAACGCCTGTGACAGGTAGCCTTGGATCAAACACAATCTGTTACGAAAACAGATGCATCCAAACGAAAGAAAAGGCTAACAAATGCAAATCATGCACTGTTTTGGTCAGGAAACTCCTGCCATGAGACGCTCGACCCAACTGAGGCCACTCCCACACCAGAAGCTGTTCTGGCGGCAAGGAGAGAACGGCGTCCCAACCGGTCTCGGGCAACAAACAACCTCCAGCCGAATCTGAGCACAGGTCGACAGGACCCCAAGCATATCAACTTACGGATGCAGTCGTATGTCATTACACGGTATGTCATTTGTCATTTGAGTCAAATGCCATCGACTACTGACTACCCATTGCTTACCAGCATGCTTGACAACACCTGCATACAAGGAGCGCGTGACACTTGGGACTCCAAAATGCCATTGCAAAGGGGCCATGCAAGGTCTCCAGCAGGTCACGCAAAGCCAGTGTCAGCTTGTCAGCGCCATCACTGGGCAACAGGTACTGACAAAGAAAAAAGGGGGAGGCCTTGGTCAACTGGTCAACTTGAGTTCTTCTCCTTTGTCGCAGCAATAGTATTCGACGTTTGAACATGTGGCTGATCATGGCTGATCTACATTCATGCTGAAAACGTGTGGGCCGTGGGGATGGCCTTTCAACAAGGCCACATTGTTGAAAACGAATTCCATTTGTAGTTGTGAGGAAATTCAGGGGCTCAAGGTTAGCTTTATCAAGGGTTCGCATGGGCATACGACAATGCGGCCTCACAACAACAAGAGTCAAAAATGAGGTGCGCTGTATACAGCAAACAAGCCGACTCGCCACCTTATATAAACAAAATGCAGCGAGTCTGCTCTCAATTTTGTAACGATTAGAATTAGAATCTAAAAATAATGATATCTTTTCGAATCTTTCCTTTAAAATATTTACTTACACAGAGTCAGAGCTGGCGCCAATTTATTGACCCTGCCGCTGCCGCTGCCTTATGACCTCGCAATTTGCCAATTGTCGAGCAAGCCAGCATGTGTCGCTGCTGGACAAGTCCAAGCTGTCACTGCCTGCAGGAAACACCGAATAATACTGATGCCATTGGGTTTGTCCTACTTGCTCCTGACCAATGTCCCCCGTCAAAGCAGCGCTGCAGCCTCCTCTGGAGCTCTCATAGATCTCTCCGTTGAAGAGGAGTTGACCACCCTGGAGCACTTTCGACCATCAATGTACGTTTGTAGAAACCTGTCACATTGCACGAAAGAAATTCGTGCAAGCGTCCTCGTGAACAGGACAAGGCTGCGCCGTCACCGCCTCGCCACGCAAGTGCAGTACCTGGGTCTAGCTGATGCCTTCAAGACTCAAAGGAGTATTAGGAGGCTATTAGGTGGAGGCCATCGCAACTAGGTTGGAGGCCATCGCTACTAGTAACAAGAAGCTACTAGTAACAAGAACAATTCTCTACAAGCTTTGGCCAAGGCACACAGGCCTGCAGCTCCAGGTGTGCATCTGGCAGATCAACAACTTCTGTACCTCTGAGTATCAACTTCAGCATTGTCAATCCATCTTCTGTATCAACATCTGTAGAAAACCATTGAACATCAAGCAAATGTCGTACTTCTGGAAAGCAGAAGGTTGAACTTTGGGATTTGTTCGTCAGGGTACCTTGGGCATCGGGTCCTCTCCGTGGCAGCACCGCCACAGCTGCTTCAAAGGCATCCTCTTCTGCCAAGGCCTGCTACAATCGCTGATGAAGAATTGAAGAAGGAACAAATGAAAGCAGAATGTCAGAAACGGGTGGATGCTTGAATCGAGGAACGTGTTAGGAGCTATAAACTATACGTGGAATTGGCAACCGCTGCAATCTCAAGGACAAGGTTTTGTTGAGTGAAGCTGTTTTGCCAGCTTGGTTTTACCGTTTTGCAAAAGTCCTTGCCTCTGGGAAAATGCTCGCTGCATCCTTCCAGTCAATCTTCGACTTGAACCGCAGCCAGAAGGCCAAGCCACACATGGCGCCATGGGACTCTCAATTTAATGCTGCTTCTTGTTACTAGTAGCGAACATTGCTCCTAGTAGTAAGGCCAGGAGCCCCTAATAGCATCATTGGTCGTAGTAGCGATGCCAGGAGCCCCTAGTAGCTTCTTGTTACTCTGATGCTTCACATCTTGCGGCACCAAATGTATCAAGAAATGAAAAGGTTGTGTGTCTCGATGAACGAACCTTATGTGACCTGAGTTTTTTGTTGGCTCGAGTGACCTCGATTGTGAAGAAGCTGGCAACTATACTATTGTACTATAAACGCATATTGTTGTTCTCTTACAGTAGCTGTTCTAGTCCTCTTTTTCTGTCTGTTTCGGAAAAGGCAAAGCTGATTCTGCTGTTTCCTAGGTATAAACCAACGATCCACAACAAAAATTTGAGCAAGCAATGCCATGATGAGATCTCATAACCTAGATTGTTGTAAGCCTGTCTCTTTGTGATTCTTTGCAAAGCCGGCAAGCCCACAAAAGCATTCGGAAAAGTGAGCATTGGCTTTTCTAGCCGCTTCTTGACAAATAAAGAGTAACAAAAGCAAAGCAAAGTATTTATGCAAGTCGCATCATGTCTCATGGTATGGTTCGATGCAAATGGGACACAAACAAGTGGGCATTCAAATCTTGTGTTCTTCCTAGTTTGTCTATGTAATGTCATAATTCCCTGAACACATCAAGGCCACAGCGGATGGTGTCGGGACGCCTCTGCACCAGACCTTTGCACGTGAACACAAAGACAGTCTGCAAAGCCAAATAATAATATTGAGGAATCAAGATGAATCAAGGGTAAAGGTAAAGGAGGTAACCTCGTCGAAGCTGTAAGGCCAGGACTGTTTGTCTTCATGCTTTGATTCCCGATGTCTTCGACCCCTCGACCATGGTACGTTACAGTGTGGTATCAAGAGTGGCTGGGTAGAGGGGTCGGAAGTTTTTTGGCTGATAAAGGCCCTCCACAGGGTTGACTCACTACATATGCCCAAAGATACAGTATGTAAGCCTCAGGACAAAGGCACGCGTTGGACTGCTAAAGTCACAAAGGGCATGATAAGTAGACCTTTTTCGGAAGGATGATCCTGTTCCTCTTTCTTCAAACAGGAAAGATTGGCCTTGATAAACATCAACTTTGAAGTTGGTGTGGGAAAACCCGCTGAAACATCAAAAAGACAAATATGGCCTTCGCGATCGACTTCTCTCCTTTCCAGCCTGCACGAAGTAGCGAAACATAAGAGTAATCCTTCTTTCGAGGAATCGCTGAAGACATGAAAATGTGTTTTCTCTTCTTATTCCATGAATGAACTCCTAACCTGAACCGGCTGTCCATCAGCGGCTTTCTTTTTCTCCTTCAGATCATGCCAGACTTGATTCAGGCTCGCAAATGTTTGCACTTTGCAGTTAGCAAATACATAGATCCTAGGCTTGTCCTAGGCTAGCAGCCTAGCAAGCCATGCATCTGCGATGCAAAGCAACTATGATTCTTGCCATCACCAGAGTTAATTTCCCTTGAAATCTAGAAACCAAATCATTAGTGCGAGCGCTTCTTCAAGGAAGCTTAGGGGGGAGCTTCCTTTAAGAAGCGTGAGCTATCCTGCGTCCAGTAGTTAGTAGCTTACTTGCAGGTAGTAGCTACCTCAGTTCCTTACCTAAGTAGGGAGAGGGGCGGAGCGGGCTTTAACAAAAACACATACACAATTCTCTAGTGTTGTCCAAAACATCATGACAGCTGGATCCTCGTCGCTCGGTGGCTCTGTGTCCTTCCGGAAGAACTCGTTTTGACAACTCGAGTATGTATGGATCAGCCAGCTCAAGTAGTGCTCAACCAATCGCAAACTATGCATCAAAATTAGAAACGCCATTGCCAAATCACCACCGAAAATATTTGACTCAACCAGCTTTAGAAAACAACAGTTGTCCTCGCCGTCCGCTGCTCCCTGCGGTCGCTCGAAGACCAGGATCTTTGCAGACTGGCAGAGCATTGAGACGTTTGCAGTTGAAGGCGACTGAGCCACAGACAAAATTCCTTTGTGAGATGGATGTGAAAAACATTGTATATCAGTCTCAGTCCAACTACAGCTGCTTCAGAACAGGCACATATGCTCCATTCGCACAAATCAAGGGCTCCAAGAACATAAGAAAACTCTCCAAGTGGCAGTTAGATTCATAATTAACAGGTTTCTTGAATTAGTTTCTAGAATCAGTTATATAAATATTATATATAAGATATACTTTGTCGTTTCAAGTCTAGCCAGCAATACCCGTAGCAACTCGGCCACCTTCTCTTGGCTCAACTGCGCAGTCAGCTGACCTCGAAACTGAGATCCATCCTCTCTACGATTTCTACGAGCTCCCCAAGTTGAATAAACAAGAGATACGTGAAATTACAGCGTGAATTGGAATGCGATCCGAGAAACCTGTCCTGCTTTGTGGCATCGCTGAGGTTCCAATGCATCTCTGAAGCTCCCATGCATCTCTGAGCACTGCACCATCAATGCTCAGGAGAAGGTCGTCGCTCTGAACACCATGTTTGGCCTGCAAAATCTGCAAAGCGGGCTCTGTGACAATTGAACGTCGTGCACACAGTCTGTCATGAGCTGAAAGCAGAACCCCACCGGCTGCCCAGGATCAACGTGTAGCACATGGGGCGGTTGGCCCGGTGCCACGAAACCCAAGGCACAGCCTTGCAGCAAAGTCAGCGAGAACAAATAAATGATCATAGTGAACACGTTGGTCTCTGAAGAGTCATAGAAGCGAGAAGAACTGATTCTCGGAATTGGATATAGATGTTCACCATCAGAAACGAGTAACGAGCAAGCACGAGATGATCCCATACATGGTCGTACCATAATGCACTGCCGATGCCACACTTACTTCATGAAGTCGGATGCTCAGAAGAGGAAAGAGAATGTGGAAGACAACTATGCGCCTTCAACAACGACGATCTCTGCATCCACTTCATCAACAGCCACAGGCTGGGTAAGGGTCACCTGCTGAAAGAAAGAAGCTATCGGGACTTTTATATATATATATTATATATATATGTGTGTGTGTGTGTGTATGTATTAACGACAAAAATAAGCAGTATGTTAAACACAAAAACGGTGGGTCGGTGCCTTTGCCTCCCTTTTGTTGCTACTCTTTTGTACTTATTTATTTACATCGGTCACAAGATCAAAGGATTCATTGCTCGACCACACCTGCATATCCGCTCAGAGCGCCGGGCGCTCGGCCCCCTGCAACAACTCTATATCTAGACACAGGGGAACCAAATGCTCCCTGACACCGACACCTGATTAAGAGCAAAAGGTGACAATAGGGTTGGAAAGGGAAGAAGCTAAATGATGTTACTCTGTCCTGCCAATTTGGGCTCAAAAATCTGCACTAAGGTAATCTTGTCTGGCAACAGTATCTGAAAAAACATATGTCACTGTTCCCGTATGTTATTGACAAGGTTTCTCGGGCAAGTATATACAAATGGGTCACTGGGGCTGCGTATCAGGCGCAAACTCCAACAATTCAAATGCAACGCTTGGTGACTTGTGTGCTTAGGGCTTAGGGTGTCGCAACTCAGATCCAGGCCAAGTGGAAGTCCCCAACAGCATCCCAGCATTCTAACAGCTTGATACTGCCGCACCCAGTAAATCCACAAATATAGAGCATCACTCTCTCACACACGGCTCGGAGCAACGCCAATGGCATGTAGAATGTTGAAACATTGCTATAGCAATGAGCAGCGTTTGGACTCATCTTTTGATCATCCGTGTTCAGAGTTGCTGCGTGCACCGAATTCTTTCACAGGGCTACTGAATCAGATCAGAAGATTCCCTGCATCTGTGAAAGCCTTGGAATCTGGAAGCAACATCTCTTAGCCTTACCATGGTCCTGCTTGGAGAACAAAAGCCAAGACCAGGACCCTCAAAAGAAGCTGGGATAAGACCTTTCTCAGAGGCTCCTATCGCAGCATTGTAGATGATGCGGTTGAGACCTTGGAAAGGCACAAGTGGATCTTCTTTGCAATTTGGCAATTTGACAGGTGACGTTGGACAATACAGTTTGTAGTACAGAACTGTTTGTGCAACCTGATTTGCTACAAAATGCAAGGTACCATGCAAAAACACAGTACTAAAAAATGACCTATGGATATATGGCGCGCTACAAAATCAAGGGCTTCTACAAAACGTTCTGCCTGACGTCTGGGGTGCAAATCACAGCATCTTACTAAAGAATGCGATGGACATCCAAAATGTCCATTTCTACAAAATGCACCGTGTTTTCTGTTTTGTAGTGGCCTTGAGGCCCATTTGGTAGTTAAAGTTAAAATTGGCACGAGGATACAAGTGGGAAGAACTGAAAGGTCTAAAGGCGGAAAAAGCATACCGGTGTGGCACAACCCTCAACTCCAACGAGCATGTTTGAAAATGTGCCACTTTGCCTGGAACCCTTTTCAAAATGTGCGTAAATGTGTCTGAACGATCGCTTCCGCGCAGTGCAAACGTGTTCGTTCCCCAAACACGGGCATCCCTATGGCCATAATCCATCAACTTTGTCCTGGCATCAGGTTAGGTAGGTCATTAGCACAGAAGTATCTATCACAGAGTAGTGACAGGACATTGTACCTGAACCTGAACAAATCTGAAAAAGCATCACAATGTGTGGTGTCATCTTTTACGTAACTTTCGCGAAACCGCGGCAAATGGGTTGTCCAACCAACGATGAAACAATGCAGCATCTCATGCGACTTGCACTTGGGTCACGTGCATTGGGCAGCGTGACATGCCTTGCCAGCAACAGCGAACACAGCGGGCCGCCATTTGCAGTTGCCAGCAATCACCGATGCCACGTTGTTCTCTTGTTTTACCCGAAGTCAAGCCAATGTCGTTCACACAAGGCTATAGGGAAGGCCAGCCACAAGAAGCCACACAGCAGGTGCAAGGCAGTCACTAGCAGCTGACAATGGGAAACAACCAGAGTCGCCTGTCCTTCGGAGGCTGTCTGGATCCGTCTGCTGGATCACGAGTAAACTTACAGTAATATAAGTACAGTAATCGTATATTTTACAGAGTAAATATACTTTATGACAGTGAAGTCGTTTTTGAAACACCTTTTTGCATTGCTTTCAAGAAGCAGATTGCCAGTACCCGCATCGAAGCCACAACTTGCAGGACGTGTCTCCATTCTCCAGTTTTTTCACCTCACTGCTGCTGTTTTTAGCTGTATGGTCAACAACAAGGCTTCATCTGTTCAGCTGTGGCTTGGCTCCTTTTCCCCGGCCAAGCTGCATGCGCTCACTGCAGCACTGAAGCTAATTTGGTCCTTCAAGCATCATCAACTTTGTATGGAAAGAGGACGTTCTAACTGTTGGCAGTTTCACAGTGTTCTGCAACTTTCCATTCTTGTTGCTCCAGCTTTCCATCTGACTCCTGGTCTGTCCCTGCTTCCGGCATTGCCCCGAGCATGCTTAGGGATCCAGGCCATTCCCGACCTTTCTCGCCTGAGTCCCAGCACGTCTCAGCACAAACATCTGAAAGCAAAGGCCAAATTTGGACTGATGAGATCGTGGCAAGCGCTGATAGATGCATTGAATGTAATGGCATTTGGCGTCACTTGCCTAAACTGGAGCACAGCGCTGCTAACAATACGCACTAGCATCTAGTACATCTTGCCCACAGGGTTGCGGTAAGAACTGCAAACTTTTTCAAACAAATTGCAGTGCCACATACAAAGTAGCATTATGAACTCAAAAATGCTTGAACATCCACTGGATGCAACAGCTCCAGGGCACGAATCCTTCATTGCAGTCAGTAGCTGTAGAGCATGCCGCCACCGACCAGCCTGAGCTCCCAGCACAAGATGTACAAGAGACCAAATGAGCGAATCACATTGTCATCTTCGAAGCAGTGTGTTGTTTTGCACAGCCAATGTTTTTTGGTAGTTTCTGAAGATGTCATTCAGCACAGAGTGAATCCAAAGAAATATCAAGACCAGCTGATTCCTCATACTAACTGCAGTGTTACAGAGTGAAGTACTTGAAATACTCAAGAAAAACATGCCACATCATAGTGAGGCCTGACTAGATTTGATCGACCCTGGATAGAAATCAAACTAGATGATCAAAGGAAATTTAGTGTACGAAACTTCCGTGTTACGGACATTCAAAAACTGTTCATACACCACTCATCATACACCACATATCATACACCACTCATCATACACCACTCATCATACACCAGTCATCATACACCACTCATCATACACCACTCATCATACACCACTCATCATACACCACTCATCATACACCACTCATCATACACCACTCATCATACATCACTCATCATACACCACTCATCATACACCACTCATCATGCACCACTCATCAGACACCACTCAGCATACACCACTCATCCAGTTAGCTCTAGTTTCAAGAGCTCTAGTTCCAGTTACCTCTAGTTGCAAGAGCTCCAGGTAGCTCTAGTTTCAAGAGCTCCAGCTCCAGTTAGCTCCAGCTTCAATAGCTCTAGCTCCAGTTTACGTGGCAGGCGCAGCACTTTGTGAACCTCCATGCGCAGATTTCGTGGCAGGCACAGCACTTTGTGAACCTCCATGTGGAGAGTTCGTGGCAGGCACAGCACTTTGTGAACCTCGAGGTGCAGATTTCGTGGCAGGCGCAATACAAAATGCATTTTCGAGAGATAGCGGACGCACGAAATGCTGCGTTTTTCAATAGAAAGGGTGGCTCCGAAGCTGGCAAGTCAAGCTTCGCGGAACGACATGTGCGACACGGTCTCGGGTCATTCTCGGATCATGGTCGGATCATGCTCGGAGTCGTCCCTCCATTGCGATTATTAGAGTTTTCAGTTGTTTCTTGAAGTGCAAATTTCGTGGCAGGCGCAGCACTTCGTGAACCTCCATGTGCAGATTTCGTGGCCGGTGCAGCACTTTGTGAACCTCCATGTGCAGATTTCGTGGCAGGCACAGCACTTTGTGAACCTCCATGTGCAGATTTCGTGGCAGGCGCAGCACTCCATGCGCAGATTTCGTGGCAGGCGCAGCACTCCATGCGCAGATTTCGTGGCAGGCGCAGCGCTCCATGCGCAGAATTCGTGGCAGGCGCAGCACTTTGTGAACCTCGAGGCGCAGATTTCGTGGCAGGCACAGCACTTTGTGAACCTCCATGCGCAGATTTC